AAAAACCTAAAATGTAAAAAAAAAAAGTTTTAACACATAATTGGAAAAAAAATAAAATATTGTCAAAAAATAAAAAGAATATTCCAGAACTTGGGTATTCTGGCATTATCTTTGAGAACCTAGAATCACCTCCACCCCACATTAGTAAGATTTCAGTGAAGGAATCCAAATGCAATTAAGGCCCATTAAAACCTACCCTTGGATTCAAGTACCTTTTATCAACAATGGTTTTGCTTTCACTAGGAGCTGATTAGGGAGAAGTGAAGGAATAGTTTGCCTTCTTCATCTCCAGCTTCAGCCTAATTTAAAATCTCAAAGAAAAAAAAATATTCTTTTCTATTTTTCCTTTTTTCACAAACATAGGATCCAAGTACATCACGAGCATTTTATCTACATAGTCCTTCAGTTTTGATATTTAAAGTTAAATTTTTTTTCCTCCTATTTTACATTAGGTTCACTAGAATAAGAAAGCTGGATATAATAATGGGACACTGGATTGAGACTGAGGAGACTGGAGTTCTAGTCTTTCATTCACTAATCAGACAAATTATTTTACCTCTCTGGGTCTGTTTCCTTCATCTATAAAATGAGGAGATTGAATAAAGTGATAGAAACATCAGCTGTAAATGAAAATGCTGCTCCTTTCTTCTTCTCTCCTCTAGTTTATGGATGACCCAGAAAGTTTCTTTTGATTTCGTAATAAAAAAGCTGGAGAGATGCTTATGTAAAACTTGATACATAGTTTCTCACATGTGAGCCCCCAGAAGAGTTCCCCTAGGGTCAAGGCCCTCAAAACCATAAATCACAAGCCTCCACATCAGTCAATAAATACATATTAAGCACTTACTATGTGCCAGGCACTGTGCTAAGTGCCTTACTATCTCACTTAATCCTCATAATAATCCTGTGAGGGAAGTACTATTATTATCCCCATTTTACAAATGAGGAAACTGAGGTAGACAGTGGTTCAGTGACTTGCCCAGAGTGACACAGTTATTAAATGTCTGAAGTGAGATTTGAACTCAGGTCTTCCTGACTCCAGACCCAGAGTTCTATGCAGTGCACCATCTAGTTACCTCTCCTGTTTGCATTTGTGTTTATTTTGACTAATCAGGCAAAGGACTCATCCATTCAAAACAAAAGGCATTGAATTAAAAGCATAACAAAAAAATGAATAATAATACCAAAAAAGCACACACACACACACACACACACACACACACACACACCCATCTCACCAGGTACACATAGTGTATCCTTGCCTGTGGGCCATCACAGCACCGCTAATGGGGGAAGGCACCTAGAAAGAAAACACAAATGACCCAGGATCACATCAACCCTAATGCCCCCATTTTATATTTGGGGAGACTGGGGCTGAAAGAACTTAAGTGATATGTCCTGGGGCTCAGAGTTAATAAGTATCTAAGGGAACATATGAATGCAGGTCTTCCTGACTCCAAATCCATGCAGCTACCTCTGAAGAGACCAGTCTGACTTCTTCAGTGTGCAGCAAGCAAAACTGGATGCCACTATACCTAAGGGACAGCCAAGCCAAGCCAGCCCAGGTGCCTTTTGGCCAAGATCAAGTGCAGTTGCCACTTATGGATCTGACCTCACAACTAATCATCACATAACGATGGCCTGTTCCATTTCCACCATGAGTGGGTTCAGCCCTCACTAGACCAACCACTAGACCTCTGTTCTGGACATATTGGTGGCTGTGAGCCAGGGCAGAGGAGAAGAATAGGCAGGAGGAGAGAACTGTGGGTCTGTGACTGATGATTTGAGGTCCACAGACCCAAATAACTATCCAACTTGGGCCTAGTGATTCCTTGTAACATCCATTTAACTCTCTATTGAAATTTTGTGCCCCCAAAACTCAAATTGGGGACGCTGCCAAAAAATAACTGAAGCAATGGGAAAGCCGTGGCTACAAAGTCTACTTCATCCCCAAGATTCTTTTCAGTTGTCACACGTAAATAAACTTCAACAAAGCAAAAGCTAAGCAAAGTCAAAGTCATTGTCATCCATCCTCTGGGATGTTATGTCAAGAACAAAGTCTTTGACTTTCTCAGGGCATTGCAACCAATACAAAAGCTTGTTATCTCTCTCCACTTGCCCTGTCTGCAGCAGGTCAATCTCACTAATGATATTGGGCAGCTATTCAGTCCTAATTTCTTTCATGCGTCTTCATATTTTTTATATTACCTCTCTTCCCTGTCAACATGCATGTATCAATTTTTATTCACTTTCTTAGATTAAAAAAAAAATTAGTCCCCATATTTAAGACCCTCTGGAGGACATAATTTCAAATGGATGTCTTACATATGATTTTAAAGAAACCTTATTAACCATAACACTGTAAAATGGAAGGGGGTGGGGTGAGAAGCAGTCCTTTATCCCACAAGCAAAATGGAGTCTCCGCGAAGTACTACCAGAAATGTGACCTGGAGAACCATTATCAGCTTGTACCAGCTTCTAAATTGTAAATGAGGATATGAAGGAAGGAAGCCATCTTTCATTCTGATTATTCAGGCTGGTACCCAAAGGTTCTGCTCTCTCATTGACATCTTCATTAGGTAAGACTGTCACTACCAGTGGAGTCAGCATCCTCTAGGTACAGCAGCAGCTGACCTTGGCAGCCTTTCAGCCTTGGTCCTTATTAAGGATTTTATATCCAACCTGAGCTACTCAGGCAGAAGCTCCCTGGTGCTTATAGATAGAATGGTATGTCTGGGAGAGAGATGAGAAAACTCTTTCATTCTTTCCTCCCTCCATCCTCTCTAGGAATTAAAAAAAAAAGATGTTCATACCTAAGGATTTTTTCCTACATTTCCTAATGGAAGTTTTAATAGGAGAACATCTTAATAACTATGAATATTTCATTGATATAATGGGATATTTTCACTATTTAGAGAAAATATTCCCCTAATGCACATCAATATTTTCTTCCATCATCACATCTTTAGAGGCAACAGAATTGAAAGCTCCCACGTTCACAGATGAGGCAAAATCTTCTTACTTAGCTAGCAAATATTATCCAAGGTGTTTATACTTCCTGGTGTCGGCAGTAAATAAAATAGAAAATGAATAGGTTGGCTAAGGTTTACAAACTTCTCCTAAAGCAACAGAGATGCTTTTGACAGGAGACTTAAAAGTAATGTACAGAAAGATACAAAATTAAATTATTTTCTAGATTCCATCCAGAGGCACAGCTCAGGTGCAATAAAATAAGTCACGCCAGAGGCATTCTCTGCACAGGTTGGAGAAGTATATAAAATTACGCATGAGATTTCTGATGAAAACATAGGTTTCATGCAAAGCAAAATGATTTACAATTTTCTAAGACTACCTCAGAGTCAAGAGTCTGTAATGTAGATCCACTTAGGAAAAGGCTGTAAGACAAACCCCATCTTTGGGTCTGTAAAATGAATAAACTGCAATCATGTATGTACAAGGGGGAGAGAGAGCATATGGTGAACAAATATACATTTTATACATTACAAGCATTTATATATGTGGGGGGTGCATGTGTATGTATTTGTCTGTATGTGTATGCATATTTGTATACATATATACACACACATATACAAATATACAGTTTCACAATCAAAACTCTACTACTCTTCAAAAGGAAGGGGATAAGTCATTTAAATGTTCCTAGGCCTCAGTCTCCTCATCTATAAAATGAACAGGTTGGAAAAGGTGATTTCTTAGGTCTTTTCCAGAACTACAGCTATGATCCTGTAGTGGGACTACAGGTGGGAGCAAGGGTATCTATTTACTTGTAAGCCATGCAGGGCTTACATAAAGCATATAAGCTTTATATATACATATATATGTGTGTGTATATATATATATATATACATATATATATATATACACATATATATATATATGTATGTGTGTGTATTTATATGTATATATGTATATGTGTATGTATGTATGTATGTATATACGGTCTTTATATACAGTCTTAGAGAGCAACATGGTACAATGGAAAAGCTTGGGTTTGAAGTCAGAGGTTATGCTGTCAAATGCCTGCTCTGCCTCTTATGCCTTGTGCCACCTTGGACAAGTTATTTAATCTCCCTTACCCTTAATTTCTTCTTTTTATAAATAAAGCGATTGGAGGAAACATTCTCTAAGGGAAAGCCCATTTCAGCTCTCAATCTCTTATCCTAAGATCACTCCTAGTCATTCCCTCCACAGAAAAGAGGACATAAGAGGTATTGACTGAGACTCACAGTTCTCTCCTCCTGCCTGTTCCCCACCTGTGCCCTGGCTTACAGTACACAGAAATTACAGTATGGGAGAAGTAAGACCTTTGTCCCAACCTCTGTGCTGCACTGAGCACAGTACGTATGTATAATTACAATAATTATTATCCTTTGCACTTGTATGATGCATTGCTCTCACATACATGACTTCATTTGACCTCTACAAAATGGATGCAAGGTCCATTTTATGGATGAGGAAGGGATATTACATTAAACGTAATGGCTTTTCAATGCCATCTTCAATGTGGAGTAAGAAACCAAATTTTCCATATTGGCATCAGGCCTCTAGGCTGAGAGCAATTTCTGTTTCAGAGACGCCAGATCAAATGCTTTCACCTCCTCCTACCCCAGCATTCATGTAAAGGACAAAAGAGATCATCCATCAGAGAAATGTTTTCAGCCCTGAAAAAAAAAAACAGATTTCAAATAGATGTGTCATCTGAAAATGTTATAGTTTGGGGGTGGGGGAGAAGGAAGTTTTCTTGCCTTTACTCCAGGTTTTGACATTTTAGACTTATTTATTGGGCTTTCCTGACCTCACTGTTCACAGCTGTAGCCATTATTATTACAAGGTGTTCTGATGGCAAAATAGACTGTAAATCTCTCTGGAATCCTTCAAAGGAATCTTAGCCTGGCAAGGAGCAGTCAAAAAGATTTTTGTGGAAATTAAATGCCATAGCTTCACTGACAGCTAAAAAGGATGTGTGAGCCAGATTTTACCTCATCTTACCAGCCCAATTGTTAACTCCAGTTGTAAACATTTGTTTTTCCGGCAAATATCTCCAAAGTGTCTAAAGTAAACTGGAGGAAACATCTGAAGAAAGAAAGAAAGAAAGAAAGAAAGAAAGAAAGAAAGAAAGAAAGAAAGAAAGAAAGAAAGAAAGAAAGAAAGAAAGAAAGAAAGAAAGAAAGAAAGAAAGGAAAGAAAGAAAGAAAGAAGAAGGGAGGAGGGAGGGAGGGAGGGAGGGGGAGGGAGGGAGGGAGGGAGGGAGGGAGGGAGAGAGAGAGAGAGAGAGACGAGAGAGAGAGGAGAGAGAGAGAGAGAGAAAAGAAAGAAAGAAGAAAAGAAAGAAAGAGAAAGAAAGAAAGAAAGAAAGAAGAAAGAAAGAAAAAGAAAAGAAAGAAAGAAAGAAAGAAAGAAAGAAAGAAAGAAAGAAAGAAAGAAAGAAAGAAAGAAAGAAAGAAAGAAAGAAAGAAAGAAAGAAAGAAAGAAAGAAAGAGAGAAAGAGAAAGAGAGAAAGAGAGAAAGAGAGAAAAAAGAAAGAAAGAAAGAGAGAGAGAGAGAGAGAGAGAGAGAAAGAAAAGAAAAAATATATATAGTCAAACTCACTGACTGAGGTGACACACATACTCACAGATATCTATAGCATTTTTTTTTATTTTTATTTTTGAAGACTGAGATTCTCTCCCTTGCCTGGGCTACAAAGGTAGCAATTCACTCATGGGTCTGCTTCCAGTGCAAGAAAGCTTTGACCTGCTTTATCAGAGACTATCTTACATTTCCATTTGTATTTCCAGCACTTAGCTCTATGCTTTGCACAGAGTAAGCACTTAATAAATATTTTTCATTCACTCATTCATTCATTTTCCCTCCAACAAAGCAAATCACAGTTTTTAACCCCCTTAATGGTCTGCATGAGTTGTCTTCATGAGTTCCTATTAGCAAAGAATTTATGACTTAGTGACCAACCCCTGGGTCATAAGACTTTTTTTAGAGATTGATTCACTCCATTTTGTCCAAACCAGAAGTGCAGTAGCCATTCAAAGGCCCAGTCCCACTGTCAATGGCCATAGAAGCTTTGACCTGCTCCATTTCTGGCCAGTTCTCCCTTCTTAGAAAGCTTAGTGTCCCTCCTCCCACTTCCCAAGGGTTCATCATAATGGTAACAGACTTAATGGGGACAGATAAAGCCTTTAGACCTAATAGAGCTCACAACTCCTGAATCCAAGTGAACCATCAGCCTCAGCCTCTCCAGTAAGAGAGAAAACAGGCATATATTATCTTGCCTAGCCATTTTGCAATTTTGCTAATGAGACCATTAGAGTGTAGTTAGGATCTGCACCCATAAAAGCAGAGATTTATTAGTGCATATATACATATTCTAAACAAATATATTGTATTCTTTAGTTTGTGTAGTGCTCACAATTGACAAGCAACATGGTATACTGGATTGAGAGTTGACCATAAAGTCAGGAAGGCCTGGGTTCAAATTCCTCACTCTAACACCATACCAGCACGAGCCGGGGCAAGTCCTGGACAACCCTTAACTAAAAAGTGCCAATCCTAGAGCTTCACTGACAGCTAAAAAAGATGTTAGAGTCAGATTTTACCTCATCTTACCAGCCCAATTGTCAACTCCAGTTGAAACGTGTTTTTTTCTGGCAAATATCCTCAAAGCATCTGAAGAAAACTGGAGGCAACATCTGTAAATAGGGAGGTCCCTCAGTAGGACTCATGAAATCATGAATCTAATTAAAAAAATAATCTTCATAACAACTCTGTGAGCTAGGTGCTGTTATTACTTCCATTTTAAGGATGAGGAAATTAATGCTTAGAGGGATTAAATTATTTGTTCCAGGTCATGAAGCCAGGAAGTGTCAAAAGGTGGATTTGAACAGTGGCTCCTCATTACATATGCCCTTCCTCATCACCTGCAGCATTTCTCATCATATTTAAACTTTCTCCTTCAATATTTGTTTTATTTCCTAATGTTTATTGGTTGGATTTAGATACCCAATGTCACCTCTGCAGTAGGACTTTTGTCAGTTAACAATGCTTATTAACCAGATTTCTAGACAATGTTGGAGGAATACTAAAGAAATAGAAGAGAGTCCAGTCAGTCCCCACCTGCCTATTTGGCAACACACAGCACAGGCACATAAAGGCACTTAAAAATACTTACAAAGCAGAATGTAAAAGCACTGTAAATTATACAGTGCAAATGAGATATAAAAGTAGGAAGTAAAGGAGAAAAGAAGACATCAGAGAAAGATAATCAGAGAGAGCATCATTGGGGAAGGTGAGTTGTGACCTTCAAGGAAAAAGCAGAAAAGGTGTCTAAAATGCTACAGAAATTTCTAATGATCAAAAATGCCTTCTTTCTTAGCTGAGGGTGAAATTTCTGCTAGTATCCTCCCTGGAGATCAATACCTTCTAAGCTATGCTCCCCCCTCCACACACTTAATTGAAAAACTATAGAACTCCTAGCCTACCTTTAGAGATGAGTCAGGACCTGACAGCTCTATAGAGAAAGAGCTTGAAGCTCTTCCAAGGATACCAGGGCTGCCACCCAGCTCTATAGCATAAGCCTTTAGGTAAAAACTCAATAACCTCTTAGCTGTACTTCATGAAAGGGGAAAAGTGAGGACATTTTCTGACAGTTACTTAACCTCTCCAAGGCAGAGTTCCCTCATCAGTAAAACAGTAGCATCCTCTCTGCTGCTCAGAGATGTTGTGAGGGGAAAGTAAAATAGCCAAACCTTTAAGATACCTAGTTCCAAAAGAGGGCATCATCACAACAATATCCAGGACTATATTCTCTATTTCCATTTATTCTTGGACTCTCTTGAGAAGGAAATGTAGAGTTATTAACAACACTATGGATCACTAATAAAGCTGTGAATTATAATAACAGGATTCTGATGGTAAAATAAATAGAAGATATTGTCCTTCTTGGAGCTCACTCTAAAAATGGTACTGGAAGACAGCAAGTAAAGCTCTCAGTATTTACTAAATAAACCAATCAATAAATGAATCTTTTTATAATTGAATAAATGAATGAATCAAGGTGATGAGGAGGTAGCATTGTATAGCGCCTAGAGAGTTGGATTTGCAGACACCAGGAAATGATTTTCTAAGACAACTTCTGACATTTATTAGATATGTGACCATGGCCAAGTCACTTAATCTTTTGGTGCCTTAGTTTCCTTATAGATAAAATGAGGATAATAAGACCATCTATCTCACAGAAGCACTGACCATAAGGATCAAATAAAATGATGTATATTCAGGGCTTAACAAACCTTAAGTCTATAATCTATTATTAATAGATTCTTAAAATCTGATTTCAATCTTGAAAAAACAAAAATTGAGTTGGAGATGCTCTCTGAATCTACAACATTGAATAGATAATGAATAAATTAAATATTTTGTTGTTGTTCAGTCATTTTCAGTCATGTCTTACTCTCTGTGGCACCATTTCGGGTTTCTTTTGCAAAGATACTGGAGTGTTTTACCATTTCCTTCTCCAGCTCACTTTACAAATGAGTGAACTGAGACAAACAGAGGTTAAGAGATTTGCCCAGAGTCACACAACTAGTTAAGTGTCCAAGACCAGATTTGAGCCCAGGAAAATAAGCATTCCTGACTCCACGCCCGGCACTCTATCCATTGTGCCACCTAGCTGCCCAAAATTAAATATGGACTTGTTGTAATTCCAGGCTACTAGAACTGAGAGGACACCTCTCAAAGCATGAAAGAGTTAGGTAGTTTTGGGACAAAGTAAGGACAACTGCAGAGAACAGAGAGGGAGCTGGAGTAATCCACTAACGTGTTAGCTAGCACAAGTTGAAAATGCAAATAGGTTCAAGAAGGGTTTAGATGATAAAATACATAATGACTGGGAAATTAACAACCTGAAATATGTTCACAGGAGAAGGTCCAGCATGGAGAGGAAATGTGAAACCATGTCATACAAGGATTAGTTAAAGAAATTAGTGATATTTAGCCAGAAAAGAATATTGGTGGGAATGGTATTGTCTTCAAATAAATGAAGGGCTGTCATAAAGATAGAAATTAGACTTATTATGTTTGGCTCTAAAGGACAGAACTAGGACAAAGAGGTAAGTTATAGAAATACATATTTTTTCTTAACAAAAGGAAGAACTGCCCACTCTTTAGAACTGCCTGTGAATGGGATTCCTTATGAGTTAGTGAGTTCTTCATCACTGAAGGTATTTGTATATCAGTCATCATTACCCTGATCGACATCATCTTATCATTATTATCATCTTAGCTAGCATTTAAATATCAACTTGAGGTTTTCCAAGAATTTTACACGTATTATCTCATTTTACCCTCACAAAAATCCAGAGAAGTAGGTGCTTTATTATGCTTTTTTTCTTTACAAATGAGGAAACTGAGGCAGAGTTAAGTGACTTGTCCAGGGTCACACAGCTAATAAGTGTCAGAGGCTGGAATTGAATTCATGTCTTCTTGATTCCAGAGCTGGTGCTGTCCTACCTAGTAGTCTACATGGTCACTAACTAGAAAGATATAGAATTGATTCATCCATCGAATGAGGGAAGGCAGAGGTTATTTTATTTTTATCCTCAGAACCTAGCACAGTGTCTGACACATAGTAAGTGCTCAAAAAATGCATGTTGATTCATTGAACTAGATGAAATCCAAGGTCTCTCCCATCTTCATTACTATAGGAGTCTAAATATTAAGGCACTATAATGATCATCTCTAAAGGAGAATGATCTTGAATCCAAAGAACAAAACCATATTGTTCCCAAAATAGTCTGTGAGTTCTCTTGTCAGAAGCAGGATACTTGTGGGCTGATCAGGAACTGACGTGGTATAATCCTTTTTATGTTTTGCAACCCCAATTTTTTTACTATATAAGTGTAACTGCTCAAGTGTAACTGCGTCCTTTCTTAGCTGAGGGTTAAATTTCTGCTAGTATTCTCCTTGGAGATCAATACCTTCTAAGCTATGCTCCCCGTCTCCACACTCTTAATTGAAAAACTATAGAATTCTTAGCCTACCTTTAGAGATGAGTTAGGGCCTGACAGCTCTATAGAGAAAGAGCTTGAAGCTCTTCCAAGGATACCAGGGCTGCCATCCAGCTCTATAGCATAACTCTCTTCAGCAGTGGAGAAAGATTAGTGTCGTGTGTGTGTGTGTGTGTGTAGCTTGTTGTAGTGGCTGTCAAGGAAGATTGGAATTCATGTCCTTCTTTAATACTTCCAAGGCAGCTAGATGGCTAGGTGGTATAGTGGATAGAATGCCAGGCCTAGGGTCAGGAAGACCCTTCTTCCTGGGTTCAAATCTGGCCTCAGACACAACTAAAACAACAGCTACCACAGAGTTTCATATACAAATGAAATCAGAAGTCTAGCCCCTTCATATATACATATATATATATATATATATATATATATATATATATATATATATATTTGTTTATGTAACCCATACCTCAAGCTCATTTGAATAAAGGTCTCCTCATTAGTGGAGAATGATTACTCGATGCTCCAAGCCTGTGTGAGGAGTGAAGTTAGGAAGATCTCTGGAGAGGAGAGATCCTAGTTCTTCTGGCTTCTAGAGAGGACACATGTAGTTACAAGTTCTCTTGAGGGAGAAGTCCTTAGAGGGAAAGAAAAACCATATATTAGTAAGATGCAAGAAGCAATATGATAAAAATAGAAAAGTTTGAGAAGACTGATGTGAATTTGATGCAAAGTAAATTAAGCAGAACAAGGGAAATAACATACACAATGATTATAACAATGTATATGGGAAAATCAAAACAATTAAAACTGAATTTTTGGAAATTATAGTGACCAAGCATGATCCTTAAAAATAAAGAGTATAAAAAGATATGCCCCATACACATATCACTGCAGAGGTGGGGGACTATGGGTATGGAATGATATAGATGTCAGATTTTTTTCAATATTTTGATTAGTTCTGCTGAACTTTTGTAGGTTTTTCCCTCTTTTTTAAATTTTTCATTATAAGTGATTGCTGGAAGGTAGGGATGCACTGGGAAATGTAGATGATATATAAACAAATTACATTAACAAAATGCATCCTAAAAGAACAAGAATGAGGATTATGCCAAAAACTATAAAATATCATTTGACCCAATTAGCATATTTAATATTATTGCCTATCCATTCAGATCATTGTTTAGAGAAGTAAGCTACTTGTCTGGTTTTATAGCCAAAACGATGGAAACATTATATGTAAGCGAGACATAGTTATAGCTATTAAAATTCCATTCTACAATACGTTGCTCACTGAAGATGTTTCATGAAGATCTGAACAAGCAATGAAACCATGAGTAATGGAAGGAAGACCTCTTCCAGTGACCTCAAGTAACTCTGATGAGTGGGTTCCCATCCTGTCATCTCCCTGGTGCTCTGTTTGTTCAGAGGTTCTGGGCCTCTCTCACACTGTGGAGTGCCCTTTACCCTCTGGAGATACCAAGCAAAAAGCAATGCTGCAGTAGAGTTTCCATCTTGTTATCTTTGTCCTTGGAACAGGAGGGATTTTTCCTTTTCCTGCCACCACTGCACTTGAATTCCAGGGCCCTAATAACAAGGCCTCTTGGCCTAAATGTGGAGGGCAGTAGCAATGGTCCCTCTAAATGACTAGCAAGATGAAACGGAGGAGCCAGACTGGTGTCAACTCAGGAAAGTGAGACCCTCTTCCACATTGAGGCATTCCATGGTAGATATTTATTTAAGTAAATAGTATTTTATTTTTTCCAATTACATGTAAAGATAGTAATTTTCAATATTCATTTTTTATAACTTCTAAATTTTTTCCCTCCCTCTCTCCTTTCCCCCCCTCTCCAAGATGGCAAGCAATCTAATATAGGTCATACATGTGCAATCATGTTAAACATATTTCTACATTATTCATGTTGTGAAAGAAGAAACAGAAAAAAAGGAAAATAACACAAAAAAAAGAAAGTGAAAATAGTATGCTTGGATCTACATTGAGACTCCATCAGTTTTTTATCTGGATGTGGATAGAATCTTCATGATGGATACTTTAAAGTAAGATGTCTACGCAGGACCAGGGCTTGGGGTAGGTCTCAGTGAGGGTGGGAATCCTCCTGCCTCAGGAGGAAATAATGAGCTAACCCAGAGGACTTACCCCAGATGCTCTTAGGAAGGAAAAAACAATGAATTAATCAATGTTGTTGTTCAGTCATTTCAGTCAAGTCCAACTTTTCCTGACCCCATTCAGAGTTTTCTTGGCAAAGATACCAGAGTGGTTTGCCATTTCTTTCTCCAGGTCATTTTACAGATGAGGAACTGAAGCAAACAAGGTTAAATGACTTGCCCAGAGTCACATAGCTAGTAAATGTCTGAGGCTGGATTTGAATTCAGGTCCTCATGACTCCAAAGCCAGTATTCTATCCACTATACCATCTTGCTGCCCCAATGAATTAATTAAACTTAACCAAATTAAAATTGACCAAAAAACTAGGAGAATCACATATCCATTACTTCAAAATTGTTTGAATCAGTCTAGACTTTGAATGCTATGCTCATCAGAAAAGTGGGGCCTCACAAAAAAAAACTCCATCTCCTTCACTGTCTACCCAAGGAGATTATCACCTTATATCATAATCCACATCTCCTCCCACAGCATCTGAATATGCCTTATTTTCCTTTATATCCAAGTACCATATTGCTTTCTCACTTTATCAGGCAAGGTCACAGTGCAAAAAAGAGCAGTGAGTGCCAAAGTAGTGTGCCAAAGATGGGGATTAAATTATATACCCTTTCCTCTCTCTACTTTGTTTGGGTTACCTCTGTTTGATTTCTCAAGACTGCCCTATAAAAATAAGTTGTCAGCACTTAGGTTTATGCAAGTCTAAGATTAAAACTGTTGGATCTTTTTTAACCAGTAACGATCAGAAAGGAAATAGACATATGTATGTGTGTGAATGTGTGTTTTTTAAGTTTGTTGGAGTGTGGCAGAGGTTCTGTAATGTTTGGAAAGGAGCCCTATTCCTGTCTGCATGGTTTATTTCCGCCTTTCAATGGTATTTAGAGTGTCTGTTTGGCTAATGGTCCTTTCCTTATCCAGTGATATTCTAGCTTAACTTGCTGAGCCATCACCGCGTGTCAACCCTCCTACCTCACTCCCTCCACTCCTAAATAAATCAAGAGATGTGATGAGCAAACTGAGTGTGAACTGAATCCCCCCACCCACAAATGTCCTTGTGAAAAATGGCAGGCGTGCTCCTCCAACTTAGACAATAAGGCGGCTGCTGCTAGTGAAGATCCTGGCAAGAACAAACAATATTTTCAAATGCTAATGAATATCAAATCCTTTCTCTAGCCAATTTCAGAAATCTGGACTTTTTCTGCAGCAATATTTGATCAAATCAAATAAACCACCTTGGGACTGAAGAATGAAATTCATCAATTGCTATCTAAAATAAAAAAAAAGCTTGGACTAGATAACAACAACAATAATAACAACCATAATATTAGCCAACCTTATAGAGTCCTTAATACGTGTGAGTTACTGTGCTAAGTATTACCTCATTTGATCTTCACAACAATCCTAAGAGATAGATGCTATTATTATCCCCAATTTACAGATGAGGAAACTTGAGGCAAAGAGAAGTTAAGTAATTTGTCCAGGGTTGTGTAGCTAGTTAAGTATCTGAGGCCAGATTTGAACTTTTATCTTCCTGACTCCAAACCTCAAACTCTCTCTACTACTCCAACAAGCTGCCATGTAAATAATTTCCAAGGTGCTTTTCTTTCTAGTTCCAGCTCCTATAATTCCTACTAATCACTTAGTGATTAGCTAGTTTGGAAAGCAGCATGGTTTCAAAACTTTGTATCAAAAGACTTGCGTCCAAATCTCGACTTCATTATTTATTAGTTTTTCCTTTTACTATTTACCTGATGTTAGGCAACATAATATGTTAGTATAATATATTAGAACCTCAGTTTTTTCATATAAAATGGAGATAACATATGAACTCCCTGAGAGCTGTCTTCAAGTATTCAAAGGGCTTACATATGGAAGAGGGATTCAACTTGCTCTGCCTGGCCTCAGAGGGCAAAATTAGGAACAGGGAGTGAAAGTGACAAATTTTGGATTGATGCAAGGAAAAATTTCTAAGAGTTAGAGCTATCTAAAAGTGGGAAGGGATGCCCCTGCCAGAAAGGGAGTTCCCCATCCAGAGGCCTCCAAACAAAGCTTGGCAACCATTTTAGGGAGTATTTTACAGAGACATTTCTTGTCTTAAAATGGGTTAGACTATCCTGTGAAATCCCTTCCAACTCTAACAACCTCACAGATACCTCACAAAAATTATGAGAATTAAATGAATTAATGTACGTAGATTGTTTTGTAACTATCAAGTAAAGGGTTGTTATGACTAAAAGAGCTGAGTGTCATCGGGTAGCAATCGTATGGCTGTGAGAGTTGGACTCTAAGGGAATCTGAGAGCTGAAGAATCGACACTTTCAAATTGAGAGGACTTTTGAGTGTCCCCTGCACAGCAAGGAGATCAAATCAGTCAATACTTAAAAGAAACTAATTCAGGCCATTCACTGGAAGATCAAATACTGAAGCTGGAGTTTAAATACTTTGGCCATATAATGAGAAGATGGAAAAGACTCTGATTTGGGTAACGACTGAAGACAAAAGAAAAAAGAAACATCAGATGGATAGATTGCAACAGAGAAACAACAAACATGAACTTGGACAGTTTGGGGTGATAGTGGAGGATAAAAGGGACTGGCATGCTATGGTCCATGGGATCATGTAGAGTTGGATATGATTGAATGATCGAACAACAACAGAGTTGACTATGTCATCAATATAGCACTGTGATCTTAAATATCAAATGTAATAGTGCAGATTGCTTTATAAAGGTCTAGGCTTCACAAATTTAGAAAGATGAAAGAAATTTGAGTTGACTAATATGATTACAGGGCTGAAAAGTGGAAACCTACAAGAACATTTTTTAGGAGAATCAAAACCCAAAGAAGAGAAATCTGAAGAGTGACAATAACTCTTAACAAGTAAGCTAAAACTTCTTTAATATGTTCCTTGGGAGCTGAGGAAATAATGGTCTTGCCCTCAGAGTCCAAAACTTTTATGAAAGGAAAACACTTTAGAAGGCAGAGTAATACTTATCTTTGTTTTCAGATACATAGTAGACTGACTTTATAAAACTAGAATAGTCATATTTCATATTATTTACTATTGTTGATGCTTATAAGTCTAAGCAGTTAGAAAACTAGGGGTCAGAGAAGTATACAAGGTATTTTATAGAGTGCTAATAGTTTAAGCAGCATGAACAGATGGAATCACCCTGCCATGAAACACAAAAAGAGAGATGAGCAGATATCCAAGGTCAACCACAGTGAGTCAGAAGGGAAAGCTGAAGGTGATGTAGAAAAAAATACAAAGACAACTGGTAGAGAAGAGTTCCTTAGAAGTTTGTGTTAAAGGACATTTAAAAAAAAAAGTGACATTGCTGGTTAAAGGACTGTGGAAGTCGAAAGAGCTAGCCTTAAAAGGCATCTAGGTGGCACAACGGAGAGCACCCTGGTCCTGGAGACAGAAAGATCTGAATTCACATGTAGCTTCAAACA